GAGGTTTGTCCGGAGGGAGGAGGGTAACTTCTTCAGGTTAGGCATCCCTAGGCTGATTATTGGGATGAAACAGTTGACTTATCAAATACAGCTAAACAGGTACAGCCTTTATTCATTCGACTTTAGAAGAATGAGGGCTCGATGTTGAGAAGTTGTTTTCACTAGTGGGGGAATCTCAATCTAGGGAACACAGTTACAGAACAGAGTAAATTCATTTAAAACTGAGATGCAAAGGAATTTCTGCTCTCAGGAGGTAGTGAATGTCAAGAATTCTCAACCCCAGAGAGTTGCGGAGGCTAGGTCACTAATTAGAAGAAATTAAATGGGTTCTAGATGATTTTTTGAAATACTGCAGAGTTAAGGGCTGGTACAAAAGAGGAGTTGAGGCCTGGAACAGATCAGGCATTATTTTAAGGAATGGCGGCATAGGTTTAAGGAGATAAATATCTTACTCCTGTTCCTACTTCTTATGCTTTCCCTCACAGAGTAAAAGGCCAAAGGTTTGGACAACTAAAACCCTATCTCTTTCTCATGTGATAATCTGTCTTGCCCTTGAAAAAAATCAAAAATTGTTATATCCATTAATCTTACAAGGACTCGAGAAACAGATAATAATTTTTGATCAGAGATGCTGTGGGAATGTACAGAGAGCATTTTATGCAGCAAGCGACGTGGGAATGACATGGAATTCACTGCCTATGAGGATAGTGAAAGGAGAAAAAAGAATTTTAGAAGGAAGCAGGATAGTAAACTTGCAGGATCACAGGGATAGAATGGGGGAATGGTACTAGCTGGGAATTCCAATGTCTCAAAACACTGAAAGAAAGAAAAATTGCCTTATCTTTCTTAATTGGGTGACCCCTAACTATTAAACTAATCCCTGGTTTTAGATTTTCCTAAAAGAAAAAGATCCTCCCCTCCTCCCCCATCCTGTAATCTCCACATTCCCCTCCCCCCGCCTTAGGATCTTATATATTTCAATCATATTGCCTCTTACTCTTCCAAACTCATACAAACTTAGCTGGTCCAACTTTTACTCCTAAAACAAACTTTATTCCAGGAGATGCCAGTTTGTAAATTCAGCCCTACAACTCTGAATGAAAATTACTTTGGGTTAACATCACATGCAATAATACCCAGGTATGCTCACACAGCTTATATTGGATGTGATGGAAGTTACTCATTATTCAAACTATTGCATTTAGGACCTGAAATTTGGCAAAATTTAACAATACTTGGGGGATTTTTGATGCAAGGGAGCATGTGGCTTATAACATGCCTGGTTACAGATTTAGAAAGCATTTTTTATTCAACTGAAATTCTGAGTGACTGTGGAATTAGCAACATGTAGGTGTTGTGCTCCTGATGCTTCCTTAATATGCCATTTTTACATTGCATTTTCTTTTGCAAAATGCAGTTTGAGAGGAATTCCCAATGGAAAATCCACGTGATCTATCTGAAACGGGAGAGGAGAAAAGACAGCGGTCTAATGAATTAGCAACAGCAAAAGAAAACATAAAAATTATAGATTAAAAAAGCTTTTAACTAGATCTGCTGGTGTTGAATCAAGGCATTTCAAATTCTCTCTATTCTTGCTGCTGTCAACCCCGGATGTTTAGTTTACATGAGCAGTGAATTGATTCAAAACAAATTAAATAGAAAAATATAAACTGGAACATATGACGTTTTACGGCTTAGTTTGCATGTTGACACCCCTACAACTGGATGTTGGGCATTTGCGAATTAAGGTTGGAGGGGGGAGTAGGATGAGAGGAATCGATCATAAATTACATTAGAAAATGTGGCGGGTACCAAAGTGGATGGAAACCTGGCTAAAATAACTAATCTATTTATTGCTGGTGCACACCCAATACGTGCCACACAATTGAGGCAGAAGATGTGTCAAAGTCCTTGATAGCGTCACCTTGATTGGAAACTAACATTTGAAGTGTAAGCCTACACCGTACCACTCGATACTGCATATCAGAACTCAAAATATACTGCAATACTACAGACAACTTTGTATTTTAGGCGCCAGTTTAAAAATCATTTTATGGTGTATTGGACGTTTATTAACGAGTTACTGCGAGTTCGTCCACAGTGTAAAATTCAGACCAATTGTAAACCAAATATTGATGAGAAAGGCACACTCTAAAATAATGCATTTTAGTTTTGAGCTAAATAGGATGCGCGAAAATTCATTAGAAAATATGGAGCCATTTTATCCACTCACTTCCAGATATGATGTAATCAGGAGATTATCGTGTCTGCGTTTTACCTACCCCGCTTTTTTTTTATATAAAGAACTAGGTTTTGAATTTTTAGTATATGTATAGCCGTTCGACATTAAAATCTCCTTGATTCGAATTAACTTTCTCCCTCCTTTGTTTGCATAGTCAGGCTTCTCGAGAGACATCGCAATGTAGGTCAAATTACATAGCAACGCATGTGCAGTGCACAATCCATTGAAATGTTATCATGCGTTTTACAGTCACCCTAATGGATCATAATAGATTGCAGATTGAACTACAAGCAGTTCTTTACAGTGGATCAGTTTAGATTAAACTCGTCCCCTTTAAAGTTAAAATAATATGTTGATGATTTAAATGTTGAAGTGAAATACAAACGAACAAATGATGTACACAATGTTCTTTGTGAAGATTAAAACAGATGGTTAGGTATGTGGGTTGCTGTGCTCACCAGGGGAAATGCAGCTATGGTATTATCATGGCGAGGGGCGGATCAAGCGTTGCCCCCACCCCCACATAAATCAAAACACCACCATATGAACGTTCAGATTAATAATATTCCCTTTCCTTCATATTTCCGGCTATCTCCTTCAGGTTTATGAAATGCGCTGCGAAAACAAATTCCTATCTTGCACTCCAGTTGACCTCAAACTACGGTGGTTTCACATTTCTGTAGAGAAGGAAAGCAAAGCTGGATTTTATGCAGGACACAGCGCCAAAGAGAAAGCTGGGTTGACAACATCGCACACGTGCTGCGATGACACATTGAAAATAATGCAGCATGGCTGCAGCACGCCTCGAACTGACAGTATTGAGGACAGCAAGTCACCAGCAACGTCCTGCTTTCCAGATGGACGTCGCCACAAACACACATGCTAACAAAAAACAGGCAGCGAAAAACCACAAGTAAATGAAGTAAACCGCAAACCCTCCCCCACCCCACTGTTATCCACGTGCACTGAGCATGGGATTTAATTATTAAATTCTCTCTCCACGGTGTTGTTGTTTTTATACATCCCCTCCCCAAAGCACACATTTAAAGCTCAGAATGGGTGAGGGTCTCAGCCAATCGGTATGAGTATTCTGCCTGAGTGGCATACACACTGGACCAATAGATAGTTGGATAGACATGGTCCCGCCCCCTCCTTACCGGGGATGACGCAACGTGTTTCACCTCGTCAACCTAACCTGGCGATGGGCGGGGACTCCGTAAAGCAAATGATCGACAGCTCGCAGTCCGACCAATCAAGAGCGTGGAGTCTCCTCTCTCCCCGCCTCCACAATGCTGGCCTGTGGGAGAATACGCCGACGTGAACATTGGTCGATCCAATGAGCAGGCGGGAGAGGAGGAATTGGGCTGGGCGAAGACGTTAGTAAAGCTGGGTTACGCTCTCCAGGCGTCGCTTAACTTTGTTTCGCTTGGCCCGCCCCTATTACCCGTCCACGAAGGGTGAAAAAAAGAGCGAAGGAATATGAGCGAGTGGATGTGTGAGCGCCTCTCTCCTGTCAAAAAGTGGTCGGAGGAGCGAAACCAAGAGGCGACATCGATCGTGCACCGAGCGGGAATCCTGTTGTCGCCTGCCGATTAACCACCGGTCGTTCTAGAGCGTCCGTATCCCGGAGTGACGGCGCGAGGCCAACTGCCGGTGCGCGAGAGCGAGGGAGGCGTGTGGGAGATCCGATAGAACCTTCACCCCCCCCCTCCCCCCCATTCCGATTTCCCCCTTCCCCCTTCCCAACTTCATTCCCCTTCAGTAATCCGGGTTTGGGGTTGGGAGTGGAGAATTCTCCAGGAAAGGACTGGACAATGATGGGGGTGGGTTTTTATTTTAAAAGGGGGTGACACTGACACCTCCTTTCTCTTTACTGTCCGCCACAGCCCACCCGTCCACCAAAACAAGTGGGTTCGAAAGGGTGAGAAGATGGCAGCGGCGGTCCTGTGAGAGTGCAGAGTGAAGCGGCGGACGTCTAACCCTCTCCGTTCCCCTTTTCGTATATCAACAGCATTTGAGACCGGCGCAGTCCGAGTTTGTAAAACCCCGCTATTCCTCCCCATGGCTCCGAGTCACCGGGTACAGTTTTAGTGGTATTCTGCGAGTACGGTCCTTAAGTGAAACGAAACCGGGCGTCCTAGCCCCTACCCTTTTTCCTTTCCCTCCGTCCACACAGCTTCATCTGAGTGTCCCCATCATGACCGAAGGGGCTGCTCCCGCCACGGCCGGCTCCCCGCTGGACATCGACATCGACCCGGACTTCGAGCCGCAGAGCCGGCCCCGCTCCTGCACTTGGCCCCTGCCTCGTCCAGATTTGCCCGCCTCCTCTTCTCCGGGCAAGACCGAGCCGTCCGACGCTGCTCAGATGATCCCCGAGGAAGAAGAAGTGGATGAAGAGGACGAGGAGCCGGGCCCCTTGCTCGGCACCGCTGCCGCGGGAGAGCCAGAGTCCGAGCCGCCTGGAGGAGACGCTTTGAAGAAGCAGCAGCAGCCGGCGGGGCTGAGCGGTCCCCGAGGTTCTCGCTCGCCGTCCTCGGCTCACTCTCCCGGAGGAGGCGGCGGCCTCAGTGCAGGAGGAGGCGCGGGACCCCAACAGCGGAAAGCCTCGTCCCGCAGGAACGCTTGGGGCAACATGTCGTACGCGGATCTGATCACGAAAGCTATCGAGAGCTCCCCAGACAAGAGACTAACTCTGTCGCAGATCTACGACTGGATGGTCCGCTCCGTGCCCTACTTCAAGGATAAGGGAGACAGCAACAGTTCGGCCGGCTGGAAGGTACAGTCTTTCGTAATTTATAGCCTTACACTCACCCATTTGTTCACCGCTCGGCAGTGTTCGAGCTGCATTCTTATGTGTTTCGCAATCTGGTCGCTTTAGGGATTTAAAAAATAACCCAACACAGATCCAGTGAGTAAACTGTAGACAAATCGATTATTCTGAGACTGGTTCTTGAAGTGGCTGTAAATGAGGTTTCAACCGGGGATAAGTTGTTGCCACCGCACCCGCTATTTGGTTGGAAACTTCAACCGCGAGTTGAGGTGCTGTTGTATTGCTTTCGTACATGCTTGGAAATATTTTATTTTTTTAAGCCAATGTGCTTAGTATTTGTAATTGAATAACTTGTATTGGCTCGTATGAGTACTGAGTGAAGTAACGTGCATTTATTTACAGTTTGTTGCTTCAACGACGTCAGGGCGTCTCAGTATTTTACAATCAACGAAGGATTTTTAATGTGTTATCAATTGTAGGGGAACACGGGTCCTATAGGCTTGTGGTAGTCGGGTGTTTCTACCGTTATTGGAAACGATGCTACGAGTTGCAGTATTTTGTCTTTGGTCAGATTTGTTATTTCATTTCTTATCTTAAAAAGTAGCAACACAAACGAAGTATCATTCCCGCAGCATTTGGGCTGTTGTGGTGCAGTGCTAGTATTTGAGCTAGGAGGCCTAGGTTCAAGTCTCTCCTGTTCCAGAGGTATGTAATAACATCTCTGAACAAGTTAAGTAGAAAATAATTGTTTCTGCTGTGTGTGTGTGTGTGTGTGTGTGTGTGTGTTTGACTTCTTGGTAAACTCATAGTCTTAAGACTTGGAGGTGAAAGTCATATCACTGGATTGTTTGAGGACTACTACACTAAAGCATTTATTCATCCGCATGATGTGGGTATTGCTGGCAAAGCCAGCATTAATTGCTCATCTCTAATTGTCCTTGTGCTGGTGGTGAGCCGCTACCTTGAATAAACTGAGTGGCTTACTCACTTAAGTTGCAGACATGTACTTATCTCTGAGTCAAGAGGTCCAAGTTCAAGTCCCAACTGCTTGAAATGTCTGTCATTACGTGAACAGGTTGTTTTTTTTAAATATGGATACTCATTTAGATTGTTCAGAGGGCAGTCAAGAGTGGACAAGGTTAGTGCAAGTTTGAAGTCAAATATAAAGACCAGCTGAAATTAGATTTCCTTTCCTAAAAAGCTCACTACTTTTTTTTTTACAAAGAGATTTCACAAAGGTTTATAAAACTTTTCAAGTTTAAAAAAATTCACATTTGAGACTTCAATTTGTGGTCAGTGGATCACTTAGTTCTGACCTCTGAACTACTAGTCCAGTAACACAATGTTTTTGGTTGATGCAGAAAAAGGTCTTGAAGAACCTGGCAGTGTCCCTTGGTTATTCTAGCATTCTGCTAACTAACTAACATCAACATGGCTGGAGGTGGATAGATATGCCTGGAGTTGAAAATATGTACCCAGAGCTTCCTTCACATCTGCAACAGAAGGCAATTTTTGATGTGTCTTATTTTACTATGAACTTTGCTTGTTATGAAAACTGAATGCTTAGTTTGAAGTGCAGAAGCAAACTTTGTTTAACCATGGCCCCTCTTGTTAATCTGATGTCTGTACCTCTACCTTTTACTAATATGTAACTAAACTGTAATATACTATGTTCACTGAAGAAGTTTATAGCTGTCCTAGGATTGGTATTAATTATCAATCCTAGTTTGAATATTGTAATCATTAATGTATGGGCCAGAGAACATCAGAGGAAAGGTTAATGGCAAGATGGAGAATAATTGAGAAACGTTCTCCACTTAAGGTTGTGATGGCTAAATGTTGCTGAGTTAGTCTCATAAGAATTTTGAGACTAGGGAGCAAACAAGTGTTTAAAAATCTGATAGTGGTTACATTTATGATTTCAAATGCCATCTGCATTTTGGAGGAAATGCTGTTGCGTGTTTCAATGAAGATAGTAAATTTTCCTCTGGCCAATAGGCTGCGAAAGCCGCATCAATTGTTGTATCTGTCTGGTGCAAGAAGCATTTGAGTATAGCAGTTTTTAAAATACACCTGACATTTGAATGAAGCATGATTAGAATGTAGTTCTGTCCATGGGCTAGGCAGTAGGAAGTACTGCATGTAGCTGTTTACATTGATATCTGATGTGTGGATATGTTAACACTGATTTTTTTTTTAATGTTTCAAACATGCATAATTACTTTTGTAGATAAGGTATCAATAGTTGTCCTACTTCTGCTAGTCTCCTGAAATTGCATGCTGAACTGGCATCAGTTTTACCAACAGAATTAATATTGAAATGGCTGTGGATGTCGCTGACCGGGCCCCCATTTATTGGTTATCTCTAGTTCTTGGAGGATGTGGTGAACTCCCTTTTTTTTTTGAACTGTCGCAGTTTGTTTGAAGGTAGAACTAAATATTGTTGGAGCAAATTCCATGTTTTTGACAGTGTCACTGAAGGAACATTGATTGTAGGTCCAAATCTGGATGGTGAATGATTTGGAAAGGGTCCTGCATGTATTTGCACCCTTCTCAATAGTTGTGGTCATGAGTTTGGAAGGTGCTGTCATAAGTACCTTGTTAAATTTCTGTAGTGCATCTTTGGTATACATTGCTACAATGGTGGAGGAAATGAAAGTTTTTTTTTTATGTGGTACTAGTCAAGCGGGCTGCTTTGTCCTGGATAGTGTCAAGCTTCTTCACTGCTCGAAGTTGTACTCATCCAAGCAAGTGGGAGTATTCCATCACACTCCTGAGTTGTGTTTTTGTAGATGATGACAGACTTTGGGGAGTAAGAAGGTGAGTTGTTTGCTGAAGGATTGCTAACCATAAGCCTGTTTTAGTAGCCACAGTATTTATTGCTGATCCAGTTCAGGTTTTGTCAATGGTGAACCCCATGGTGTTACTGGGGAATTCAGTGGTTATGCCTCTTAATCCCATCGTGATTTAAAAACTGAAAGAACTGCGGATGCTGTAAATCAGGAACAAAAAGAAAGTCGCTGGAAAAGCTCAGCAGGTCTGGCAGCATCTGAGAAGGAGAAAAGAGAGTTAACGTTTTGGGTCCAGTCAGGAAGGGTCTGCTGACCCTTCCTCACTGG